AGTCATACACGAGGCCGGTTTTGACAAAAACATTAAAGTTATGTTTTTTTCAGACACTTCAAACATTTGCCTGACTGGCCATATTACGATTTATTCAATTAGGTGAACTTGAAATTTGGGCCTTTTCGGTATTTATGGCCACTCGTGAGCCCCATTTGCATCACCGTGCAGCCCCAACCACAAATCAGTTATCAGTCCCAGTATTTAAGTCGACCTTATCACGCATGCCAACCCAAATCTGACCCCTATTAGCAGAACCGGGTGTACCTGCACTGCGCCGCCATTCCTACGTGCATCGGCCGGATGTAATTCGGCGCTCTGGCCCGCTGCCTGGAGCGGAGTCTGCCATAACGCGTAATTGTGGGAAGGGAGCGCGGGCAGCCAGGCGTGACGATGGGAACGCCATCGTATCCGCTGGGCCGGGGCTGATGCAGCGAGCACAGCTCTCAGCCAGCACCGACAGACCGCGGCGCGGGCCGTATAGGCGGCGGGCGGTGGGCGGTCACGGCTAAACACCATGACGAGACTCGTGATTCGCTCCGCAAATCCGTGACTGGGCGACTGCGCGGGTCGCGCTGAGGCTCCGTGAAGCCGCTGACAATAGAGGCTCTGGCTTCTCCACAGCGCGCCGTGCGCCCTCTGCGCGTCGGGTCATCAGGGCCTCCTCTAAGGATTTTTCACTGGGTGGGCAGAATTTTCGCTACTCCCCTGCCCAAGGGCGAATCCAGCCACTGTTTTGGGGTTCAACCAATTTCAAAACCTGTTACCGGGGGGGGGGGGCGGGGGTGAGGCGAAATAAGCAGTGCCGTTATTGGAAATAAGATGATAGTTTGCAAAGTTAACGTTTGTCGTATGTTTTATGGTTAGCGATGCTCGAGCGATTCGTTCCAGAGTTACATGTACAGCCCTCCGCAAACTGCGTGCTAGGTATTCTTATTCGGTATTCTTGCTATTTTGACAATGTACCAGTTTTTGTGACCTTGTGACCTGGCCTCGGGTCACTGGAACCTAAAACTCCAAGGCCAAGTGACAAACAGATGCTCCAAGTCGTGTCTTAACCCTCGCCCGCACATGGGGGGGGGGGGGTTGCCACCCCTCAGGTAGTCTTTCTGCTCTGCACTCAACATTTTTAGAGCTAGAAGGCTGATTTTTCGTATAGCTGCTCCTCTATCCTTTCTTGACGTCCACTGAAAATTTCAAGTTTCTGTGATTTTTGGTTTCGGAGATATGACCTTGTTTTTCAGGTCATGTCATGACCCAAATGGCCAATTCTCAACATCTTGCGTTGGCTATGGGCCTTGTGAGCTTTTGACACCTTGATTTCGGCCTTTTTTGCCAGTCTTACCTCCCACCTATCATGGAACATGTTGTTCGACGATGTACAGATGTCAAGGTCAAGGTCAAGGTCAACCTAGGTCATCTAAGATAATTGCGTTTTAGGCAAGCGGAATTTACTTTTTGTGAAGTTTTTTTGACTGCATTTTTGGTAAAAGCTTCTCAGATCATGATTTCATGTAATATGGACACATAACCAATCGGTGCACACATCAGTATACACACAGACACACACAGACATACAAACACATATAATTGACCTTGACCTAACTTGACCTGAAATGACCTCAGCAGCAAAAACCTGGTCGGGTAGTGTGACAAAGAGGTTCTAGCTGGCTTGGCACCAGAAAACGGCATCGTCATCGGTATATGATGAGCAGCGCACTTGATATTCAACGGTGACCAAAAACAGCAACATTTTTTAGTTTGACCTGACCTGGAAGGTCAATGACTGACCTGAGATGGTAAAACTGGGTATCATTGGATTCGTCTCTTCCCAAAAAATCTTTTTGGTCTTTACCGCTAAGCTCTATCTCCAACAGGAACGAAATGGCGCGGGGGGTAGCAACCCCCCCCCCCCCCATGTGCGTTCTAGGATGGGAAAATGGCATGTGCGGGCGAGGGTTAAATTTGGTAGCGCTACGAGCTATAGAACTCACGCTATCAACGAAAAACTCTGGCATTCGGTTGCCGCTAAACTAGTCCAATTTTCCCCTGACCTTGTACGGGGTTTGTGACCTGGTGACCTGACCTGAAAAGACTAGAGATCTGAAATTTTCAGGACAAGTGCCAAAAGGTTGCCCCAGAGGGTATGCCAAATTTGAGCGCCGCCGTTTTTACGTTATTTGTGGAAAAACCTTAGGGGGGGGGGTGCATCAACCCCCCTCACCGGGCGAGGGCTAACTAACATAATACATTGTAGTAAAGGCTACCCGAACCGGTAATGATTCTTGCTTATTTGTTTAGCTCAGCCGTATTTAGAGATTTAGCTGGCTTTGTCCATGAATTACAATATCGGCAGGGGCGTAGCCAAGGGGGAGGGGCCACGGGGCAATGGCCCCCTCCCTTGAGCGCAAAACGCGCCATGGGGGAGCCCCCCAGGCCCCGGGATATTTTTTTTTCAAACACTGGATAAAACGTCTTTTACTCGGAAGAAAATTGATATCGAAGTTTCATTTATGTGGCCCTCTGATGGCCCAATGGGCCCCTGCACTCATCCGATGACCCCCGGTTTTCTGGGGCCCCTGGTCGCCCAGAGGGCCCCGGTCGCTTGGGGGCTAGTCGCCTTGGGGCCCCTGGTCGCCTGGGGGCCTGGTCGCCTGGCCCCTGCCCCCTGGTCGCCTGGTAGAACGCTTGTCACCTGCAGTGGCATAGCCAAGGAGGGGGCCAAAGGGACCATGCCCTCCCCCCCCCCCTGGAAGCCAGGGGTCCTTATTCTATAGGGGCCCCTGGCTGACACAGTGGGCCCTTGGCGACGCAAAGGCCCCTGCGGCAGATCCTTTGACACAGCTGAGTAGTTATACCTTGGCCAAGAGAGCCCCAATTTTAGAGCCTTGGGGCCCTATTGAAACCAGGGGGTCAGTTGGATGGGATGGGTCCAACTTGAGTCCAACGGTGTGTAAACAGAATCAATGCGTTCCGACTGTTGATCTGACCCTATATCGGTTTGAGGGAGCTCGGATCGGATCCACTGTCGATCTGAGGGACCCCTATCGGTTTGAGGAAGCCCTCAAATGCCCTGAACGGGTCCTTAGTTTGTCTGAGAGAGCCCTCCGTCGGCATGACTGGGCCTCTGCAAGTGCAAGGAGGGCTTTTGTCGGTCTTAGTGGCCCTTAGGCGGCTTATATGACCCTCAGACGGCTTACGAGGCTCTCATGCGCTGTAGGGGCCTGTGACGGTCTGAAGAACCCTCATCCGACCTACGGGCCCTCAGACCGCCCTCAAAACCGACTGGCGACTCTAGGAAGCTATTCGTGGGCCTATCTAACAGGGCCCATGGACTGCTTACCCCCTCAGTTCTAATATTTTTTGTTTATAGATATTTTTCTATTTATTTGGGCCCCCTCCAAAAATTATTGGATCCAACCAGATGGCTTTTTGGATTTTGAGGGGGTTATTTTGGGCCCCTGTGCGTTTAGCCCCCTCCTTGAGGAAATTCTGACTACGCCCCTGAATATCGGGCAACCAGAAAACTTTTTTGACCTTCAAACAGCATCCAGTTTGCTTAAGACCAGAAAGGTAGTACCGGACGTCCGGCCGGACCAGAATTTTTGCATTTGCTTCTGGGTGGGCAAATCGACGCCACTGGGTGGGCAATTGCGGTGACTGGGTGGGCATTTGCCCACCCAGTGGGTATGTTAGAGGAGGCCCTGCGGGTCATGGACCTAGACCTGCGCGCACCCTGGCGGACAGGTTAGGAACTACAGTTTCCCACTGGCTCCGCCGGCCGTGGGACCGCTCGGCGCTCGCACAGGTGTCTCGCTGGTTCCGGTACGCTGTAGTCACGGTAGCCTCGCCCGTGGGATCACACCTTGGCCACGCTCGGTCAGGTGAAACCTTACCAAGGCTATCGTCCACCCGTGACAGAGGTCTGCCGGTTGCAGAGGGGTAGAACTGAGCGGGGGCGGCCGGCGGCGGCGGGACTGGGTGCCCACCCAGTCTGGCCACCAGACGGCCGGTCATTTCCGGCCTCTCCCCTCCCCTCCCCTCTACCCCCTCCCCGGTGAGTGGGCCGCCACTGGAACGAACTTAGTCACCGAGCGGCGCCGGCGACGGCGGCAGTGGTGGTCAGACCCGTAGCGACACGGACGGAGGAAGGACGGTGAACAGTGAGGACCGAGGTCGGGAGGACTGCGAAGAGTGAGAAGTGAGGTCGGGAAGACTGCGGCCAGTGAAAACTGAGGTCGGGAAGACTGTGAGCAGTGAGAACTGACGATCAAGAGTCTTCTCGAGCGCCGAGAACTGAGGATTGAGAGGATATTGAGCGCTGAGAACTGCCGGCTGAGCGGTTTGCGGTGTGAAGACAGCCGATTTGGAGCAGTATCTGTCGATCACCGGTGACAGTGCACGTGTGAAGAGAACTGCGATTAGCGCCAAGAAATACTGCCCATCGGGAAAGTTTAGACATTTTGCTCTTTTACGCATTGTATCTCTCGAGGATATTTCGACGCTTGCGTTGGTAAAGCAGCCGTCTACTGGTCCACTATGGCTTCAGCTACCCAGCCTGTCGTGAGGAACTTGGACTTCTTCTCCCATGAAGAGTCTCCAGAGTACAAAATGACCGATGAAGGTATGTTGGTCCCTGAGCAGAGTTGTACCGCATGGGTGCTGTGTGCCTCCAACCCCGAGGCTCCCCTGTGGTAAGGTTCATGAACCTCCCTCCCTCCCTCCTCCGCCATGTACCGACCTGTAGGGCCAGACAGGCATTTCCGGACCGGGGACCGGGACCGCGGACCAGGGACCGGGACCACCGTGCGGACCAGGCGCGCTGTTTGGCCCACGGACCAGCCAACAGGTGTAGACATGTCCCAGCGGAATTCGGGGTGTCTGCCGAGCGGGCGGTGCGGGCTATAAGCGGATTGACTATCGTGTTTTGCCGAGTTCATCGTCATAGGCTTGTCGATAGTTGTGATTTAATGCTGACGGCCGTTTTCTCTCTGTTTCAGATCACCTACATGACCTGCGGTACATGAAGAGGGCCGAGCAGGAGCAGTCCATGGAAGGTCAGTGGCGTGGGGAGCCAGGGGGGGGGGGCGCCGAACGGTAACAGTCCACGAGCGACCGTGCACGGCTGGCCACACTCAAGCTGACCCGGCCTTTGTTTTGAACGGCGCGGCCGAGCGGCAGCAGAGCACGCAGCCGTAAAGCCGCTGGTCCTTTTTAGCGTGCGGTCGTCAGGTGTCATCACTCTATAAAATTCTTACGAGCGAACGAATAATCGATACAGTTGTATCTACTCCACGCTGGATGGTAACAGCAACTAAATTATTACAACTGATGTTTTAACCACACGTTTTACAGTTCACTTGTTGTCGCTATGCGCTTTTTATATTTCAATACTAATTTCTTCTACGGATGAGGTCACTCTTGATTACGTGTCACCAAACCTTTCATATTTTTCCCGCCGATCTGCTAGCCTGACCTGCTGACCTGACCCGAGTGCTGACCTGCTGACCTGAGCGCTGACCCGAGTGCTATCCTGACCTGACCTGCTGACCTGACCTGACGTGCTGACCTGACCTCTCCCACCAGCTCTCCTGAGGATGGAGAGCGACCTGGAGCGGCTTACCATCCTGGTCGGCGTCATGTTCTGCCTGCTCATCGTCTGCTTCGTCTGGCTGGCCTTCCACGCCTGCTCCAGCCGGCGCGGACGCTGCCGAAGACGAAAGACAGGAGACGTCGAGGCCGACGCCATTCAGCTGAAGGGCGTCGGCAACGGCGACGCCAACGACGCACATCCGGTGAGCATGCCGACGGCTGCCGTGGGTTATATGCAGGAGCTTATTTAGCTAGCTTTAGCTTTCGTATAAGCATGTGGGCCGCGGAGCTGTATGCGTCGTTTGTATTGTCATATATGTCATATTACGTAACAGTGAGGTCACGCTGGATCGTGAAGCATGGTCAGCCAGGGAGTCACTTGGTGAGCGACATCTCCCTAAAACATTGCCCCCATAGACGTAGTTACTACCCGGAGAGTAGCCATGTATATCTCCTGTGTCCACCTCTGTGCGCCGTTTTCACCTCGTCCGGCCGGATCCAGCGGTAGACACGCTCATAACGTCCGATCGGCGGTGACTCACCGCGACGATGACGTCACACACCTGGTGGTGACGTCATCGTCTCGGGAATGCCGCCCGCCAGAGGTGGCCGCACAGGTGTGCCACTGGTGTTTTTGTGAGCGGAGCTGTGTCGGGGCTCGGGGGTGGAGGGGTGCGTGGTCTTCGGAAAACACGTCTGTCAGAGAATGCGACTAGTGAGTGGGAATGGTGATATAGAGAGAAAGAGATAGGATCGAAGGAGAAGACTGGTTAGCGTTGTGGGGTTTGAATGCGTGCAAGGGGAAAAGAAGTGCCCCTTCTGTTGCTGTGTTAGGAGATTTATGAAACCGAATCAATGGGAAAGTCCTGGCCATCCATTTGCTATTATAGCGTAGATCAAGCTGCTTCCGTGCTTCTTTTTCCGTCGTCTTTATCCGTGTTCTCGGGCAGGATTTTTCCCGAGCCGTTTTGCTGCTACTTCTGACCTACTGCCTTTAACCAGTGTCTGCTGTCCCATTGCCTTCTCGGACCAGTGACCTTTTTGACCTCTGAACCGCTGTACCGCTGACTTTTGACCCGATCGGACCGTTTGCCTCAAATTCCGTGGTACTGTTGCGACCACTGACTTCTGATGTGCTACGTCACTGACCTCTGACCACCGTTCCATGCTTCTATCCTCAGGATACAGAAATCCTTCTCCTCCACGCCGCAACCCCCCTCCGGGCTGGACAGGCAACTTTATCTCATGCGGGCTGCTCCCTTGGAGCGGCACCGCTGCTCCCGAGGGAGCGCACCCCGTAGTCGGGCGCAGTGAGTGCCTTGGGGCTGGGTGGCCTGTCCTCTGGACGGGCTCAGCCCCGGCGACTCACTAGGATGCCTGCCCAGACCAATGTCTCCCCCTAATTCCTATCATCCTTCCGGCTCTGCAATGGTCTTGTCGACCGAAAGGGCCTAACCCAACAAAAGAAAAAGAAATGACCTCTGACCATTGCCCTTTTACCGCTAACCTCTGACCTCCGATATCTGACCTCTGACCTCTGACCTTCCGTGTCGCCATTTCAGGTGAACGCCGGCGCGCCGGTGATCAGCAGTAAGGCGAACACGGTGCCTCAGTACACCCTGGGCAGGCACAACTCGTCCTTCCTGATGGCCACCAAGCACGGTGACGAGCTGAAGGGCGACCGCGGCCGGCACCCGTCGGAGGACACCTGCCCGGGCGACTACAGCGCCGCCTACGACAACCCGGCGCTATCAATGACTCCGCCGCTGGACGGTGGCGGCGCCACCAGTCACCCGCTGGCCGCCGCCGGCGCCGAGTCGCCGCCGCTGCCGCCGCGGGACGTGAGCCGCGCGTCGTCCCGGCGGCGCAGCGGCGACCCGCGCCCGCCCAGGTCACGGGACGGGCCCGGGGCGGCGGCGCGGCCGGCGCCCGAGGCCGATGTTACTGACCCCGTGCCGCCGGCCGCCCGCTGAGCGAGAACCGAGAGCGAGCGAACGGCCGGCAGTGTCACGCGTGGGAGCTCCGAGCCCGGTGGAACAGCGGGGATCTGTGATCGGTGTGTGACCGTCAGTGGGTTGTGAGTAGACCAGTGTCGCGCAGTGCCGCGCTGTGGAACTGGATGACGGGTGGGATGGACCGTGTTCCGTCGTCAAGACCCGGCATAGTTGGACTTCCAGCGGACTGCCGGTCTCCAGTCCGCCACACAGACACTGATAGAGGATTCACGGCCCTACAGCGCACATAGCGATCGATAATGGCTCAAAGCGTTCAGCCCAGCAGCAGAGGAGACTATTACATTCCGCTGATGAGTTGTTTGTACCGTCCGTGAGCACATACCTCTGCGATTGCGGAACTCAGCCCGCCGATCCGGCATTGCTCCGAGTGATTGCGGATCAATCAATAGCCTCAGGCTTTGTGTGCGGGAGCAGCGAATGACTCGCAGACAGGTCGCTCTACGCGTACCGGGAACAAAATGTGTCGGTGGATAAATGTTCTGTGTGTGCAAATGGCGTCAGCCAGCTGAATCTGATATTTGGCGCTAAGCTGCCAGTGGACCAAACGTCCTGCTCTGCTAGAGCCCGTTCTTATGCGTCTCTTGTGCTCGTGTTTATGCGATTTTATAGTTGTTGAGGTGAGTGCCTTCCCAGAGTATTTTTAACGATTGACGCGACCAACAAAGGCAACGTTGTTTGACGTTCTTTAGCGGTTGCTGTTGAGTGAACTTGTGGATGTTGGTGTATTTTCATTGCAAATATAATGCCAGTTGACCTTACAATATTTCAAAGTTTTGGATTCGAAATGGTTTTGTCCCAATGAACAGCGCCAGGGGCAGTGGTCAATCGTAACACAGAGACATTTTCGCTTTCTAACTCGGCTCTCGGACCACGTGGCGACGAGCAGTAAGCGCCAGGCGGCATTCTAAAGAGTGTCAAATTACATGACGAAATTATTCAACTTTACCGGGTTAGGTCAAAGGTCATATCATCAGACAGAGATCATAACAGGACACAGTGTAGCCCGTAACAAGCCCAATCCACAGTGCGAGTCATTCGGTGGCACTCCCAGCCGTTTGACCTACAGAGGTCAGCAAGGGTCACGGGGCCCACATTTTCACAGTAACTAGTTTGTGGCTCGCCCAAGTGGAGCAAGAGCGCTAAAAAAAACGGCACCAAACGACTCGCAGGCATCTGATCTTACTTTTCCACTAGCAATTTTACCTCCCACCATGCGTTGACCTAAGGTCATTTCAATTTGCGGGTTATGTCGAAAATACACTTGCACAGCGGTTCTGGAGTATAAGGATCGACTGAATTCCAAATCCAAGCATACCATCCCATGAGATGGTATGAGCCCATGAGACGTACTACTCGTATCCCGCGCCCCGTAGGGGGGGGGGCCGAAACGGCCCCTCCCTGTCCTTTTCGGTCGATATCTCCTAAACGGCTGGAGATATCGCCACCAAACTATCAGGACCCCTCCGGGCATCAATTTTACACATTGTGACCAAAAATTTTTCCAGAGGCTATGATAGGTTGGCCACAAATGACGTCAGAGTGACGTCATGTTCTGTCATTTTCGACCGAAAAAAGACCTTCGCGAGAAGACCTGTCAGGACTACAGCTTTGAAGATACAGAAAAATGATCAAGACATAAAAGGTGTAGAATGGACAGGGCTACAAAACTGCTATCTCGAATTTTTGAAATTTTTGAGTTTTGACCCCCAAAAATCAAAAAAACATTTTTTTGGATATAATCGCCAAAAAATCCAAAAAGTTTTTTGAATTTCGAAACAAACCGGAATATATGTGATAGTGCCTACCGTCTTCTATCTACATACTAAATTTCAGATCGATACCTCGTTTTTTGGCCAGGTTATAGCGAAAAAACTGTTCAAAAATGATGACGTCAAATTTTCAAACTCAATTTTTGGCAATTCTAGAACTCGTAGAGCAAAACGAAGACCACCATTAGACTCCCCGTGACGAGCTGCATCGAATCGATACCCATTTTATGCAAAAATATCAACTTTGAAATTTGACCTAATTTGACCTGACCTTGACCTGACCTTCACAAAAACGTGACCTAGGCTGGCCCCAAAGGCTGCCTAACCCACATAATCGCATTTGTCATGTAAAATGGACCATAAAACATGTATCACACGACACATTCATATTGTGACCCCCGGTGACCTGACCTCGCTGTGACCTGACCTGGTATCAGTGACCTCAGATAGCAAGGTATGTGTTTGACAAACAATGTACCATCGATGGTTTTCAATAAATTACCGATTTACTCGCTTTCACAGCACATTTCTTGAATTGCCTGTGAACGGTGAAAATCTGACCTTTGACCTGACCTGTGACGTCATCGGTTTGACCTAGGTCAATGAAATTTGGTCACAAGGTAGTTCCTTGGTGGGGCTATCGAACGCCGTTTGAGTTTTGAAAATCGGCCGGTAACTTTCCGAGATCTTAGGGGGGGCCGAAACGGCCCCCCCCCCCCCCTACGGGTGGTAGGGTCCGCCGGTAGCCCTACGGGGCGCGGGGTATATAGTAACTTTCCAAAACCGCTTCTGGATATGTGACCCCGTTTGACCTGGGCAGGTCAAACGGGGTCACATATCGAGAAGCGGTTTTGATGGTATGCTTTGATTTGGAGTTCGGTCGATCCTTATACTCGAGAACCGCTGTACAAGTGTATTTTCGACATGGCCCGCAAATGACCGTAGGTCAACGCATTACCTCGGGAGGCCAAATTGCTAGTGGACAAGCAAGATCAGATGCCTACGAGTCGTTTCGGTGTAGTTCTTAGCGCTCTTGCTCCACTTGGGTGAGCTGCAAACTACTGTGAAAATCTGGGCCCCGTGACCCTTGCTGACCTCTGTAGGTCAAACGGCTGGGAGTGCCACCGTATGACTCGGACTGTGGATTGGGCATGTTATGGCCTACATTGTGTGCAAGTTTCAGCTCGATCGGAGGTGACCCGATTCTGTGCTGAATCCGGGCTGAATATAGGCTGTCTTGACTCGGCTTGACTGACATGCTCAGGCAGTTAGTTCCCATGCGTTTCCCTGTCGCTTTTTGGCGTTTGCTTGGGACCTGCATAACTAGGTGAGGGCACCAGTTCATTGACATAATCCTTCCAACTGCGTCAGCTGGTCTCCATGGTAACGAGCTGGAGGGGATGCGGGCGGTGCGCTGGGGGCTCGTGACACAATGCAGTCTGTTGGTCACAGAGGTACAGTTTAGTGGACCACGCCAGTCCCCGACTGTGAGCAGCGACTGCGACTGTGAGCAGAGGAGCTCAGGGGTCGCGACTGTGAGCAGAGACCGTGCCATTCCCCGACTGTGAGCAGGGACCGCGACTGTGAGCAGAGACCGTGCCATTCCCCGACTGTGAGCAGGGACCGCGACTGTGAGCAGAGACCATGCCAGTCCCCGACTGTGAGCAGGGACCGCGACTGTGAGAAGGGACCGCAACTGTGAGCAGGGACCTCGACTGTGAGCTTAGAGACCGCACTGTGAACACCGACCGCAACTGTGAGCAGGGACTGCGACTGTGAGCAGGGACCGCGACTGTGAGCAGGGACCGCAACTGTGAGCAGGGACTGCGACTGTGAGCAGCGGCCGCGACTGTGAGCAGGGACCGCGACTGTGAGCAGGGACCGCGAGTGAGCACTGAGCAGGGAGCGCGCCAGTCTCCGACTGTGAGCAGGGCGCTGGAGTCGCGCTGGAGCCAGTCTGGAGCCAGTGCAGGATGCGTCCGGTGCTGGTATGGGTGCTGGTGCTGCTGGGGGCGCCGACGGCCGGCCGGGCGCGGGAGCCGTGCTGGCGCGCTGGCTCCGGCGAGGAGGTCGTTCGGCCAGCCCGGCTCGGAGAGCGCTGCTACTGCCGACTGCAGTGTGCCGCCGCGGTGCCGCACTCGACCTGTGCCGCTCCCACGGGCCGCTGCGTCTGTGACGGTCGCTCCCGGCGCCGCGGTGCCGGCTGCGTGCCCTGGGCGACGCCGTGGCCGCCGCTGCAGATCGCACTGCTGGCAGCGGCGGCGGCGGCGCTCCTCTGCGGGCTGGCGGCGGCGGCGGCGGCGGCGGTGGCCGCTCGGCGCTGGCGGACCGGCACCACCAGGGACCGGCACAGACCAGGACGGACCGCCGCGGACCAGCAGACCAATACAGCGCCACTGCTGAGCGGCCACAGACCGCCCCGCTACAGTGTCTGCACGGCCCCATCGGCCCCTCCCATTATTGAGGAATGAATGGCTGTCATGTTTATGATTGGGACCTGACTGATGATCCGTAGTCAGATTGAGTTTCTTTTGTGGCAACGTTTAACGCAGCCCTTACGTATATACATAAGTCGTTTGGTACATGCGCTTAAAACGTCTACTTTCATGACAATGTTTATTTCGCGCAGAGCAGCATTCTAAATATACTACATACTGACCAGGGCTATAGAACTCCCTACTGACGTGAGCGTGTGTCCGCAGCTTGTGACGAGATGCTCGGTTCACAGTGTTGCAAGCTGCTCGATCGGCATATTTTCGGACGCCACTTAAAAACATTATGACGAGCGTATAGCCATTGATGGCACTGCACAAGGGGAGCAAGGAGTTACCTGTTCTCCCGTGAACTTATTATAATGGAGGGGTCATAAAATAGACGTGACCGTAGATCAACGATTTAAAATGCGTGTTTTATTTATTATGTCGCGTTTATCAATCGCCAAAAGTTTCGGAATAATCGTTCGGTCGTTGTATCTATCACCAGCATTTACATTTTTGTGTTAGGCTAGAACACTTGACGTGACCTGGTGAGCTGATCCTAAGATCCTAAGGCTCTGTATCATTTTAGAAGGTCAAGAAGCATAGTTTTTACCTAAGCCCGATTTCTATCACAGATATTCCCCATAATTCCATTTTCTTATTTTCAGAGCGCCAGTTACCGCGTGTCGCTACGTGACCCAGGAATCGAAAGAAGCTAGGGCGTTAATTAAACATCCCTTCCCTCCGCCTCAATGTGTTACGATCGGGCCACTGCCCTGCTGCGGTTGAAGTTTATTTTGGATATCATACACGGCTTACAGCTAAATCGCAGCATTTGCGAGGTCACATGTGATTAATACAGACAGAAAAGGCAATACACTGAAGAAATAAAAAACGATAAAAAATACAAAGTGCTAAAAAATCAAGGAGCAGAACAAAGTAGAATTATAGATAAGCAAACTAACTTGGATTACTCAACGAACCTAAAATATATTAAATTTTGATAGCAAACGAGCTCCGTTCTTGATCAGGCAGCTCGGCTTACGAGGCGGGCTCGGCAGCCAGCTGCGCCCGCGTCTCGCCGCCGCGGCTGAGGTCGTGTCCGCGCTCGCCGCTGAGGTCGTGTCCGCGCTCGCCGCACTGGCTGAGGTCCAGTGAGGAGCGGTTCAGTGGTACACAGTCCTCGGCGATGTCCAGCGAGGGCCTACCGATAGTGGTGCAGTCGTCCCCGACATCCAGCGACGACTGGTGGGACCGCGTGCTGTTGTCGTCGGCTACACCTGCGACACAGAGAGGAGGCGCTCTTTATCTAAATACAGTGGCCAGCCAAGTAAATGGTGAAGAGTCTTGACTTGCTATGCTACGTAATCGGCAGCCATCGAGTGAGCCATCAGCAACGTTTTGCTTGTTCACCATGAAAAAGGAACATTTGAAGTTATTCGAGATAAGACATACGCGCCACGCGCCACAAATAAGTTTGATATGCATTTTATGTACCTCACTTTTTACTTATTTAAAGCCGACACACCTCTCGCAGTTCCCGCACTGAGTACTGACCCATCTCGGTGACGGAGAGCGGCCGTGATAGTATCTTTCTGCCGACGTTTTTGACGCGCTGGTGTCCGAAGCAGAGCTCAGTGGCGCGCCGGCGCAGTGCCTGCAATCGGCCCCTGCTCGACTCCTGGGCGGCCAGTGCCTGCCGCCGGCCGCGCTTCAGCAGGCAGTTCCGCAGGATTGACGTGTCGTCCAGCAGCTTCTTCTCCCACAGCACCTGCGGCGGGGAACAGCGGGTCAGCGGGCCAGAGGTCAGCAGTCAATGGGTCAGTGGTCAGCGGGCAGCGGGCAGCGGTCAGCGGGTCAGCGGTCAGCGGAGCAGCAGACGCCCGTAAATAACACAGATAGCTAAATCTTGTGGAGTCCGACCGCTATTCTTCTTTTTAGTGGTGCTTTAGTGGTGCTTCTGAGCCTCATCAACAATAGGCATGAGGGTATTGCGCCGCACCCTGCTTGCAATAGTCGACCACATCGGCTCCATATCAAAGCATACAAAATCTTATCATACAATCATCAAAACATACAAAACCGTAACATACAACACGCAAAACCTACAAAACAGGCCGGGTAGGGGACAGTCAAAACATAAAAAAGCGCAGCATACAAAATCGTGTCATACAAAATCGCAAGGTACAAAATCGTTTCACACAAAAAGGCAGTGGAAATTAATGGCATTAATCAAAGTACGCATCATACAAAACCATTTCATATAAATTTACATCATTTCGTCGTCCTTGAGATGTCAGTTTTCAGTTGGATCAAAACCTACAATCTCAACTGCGCTTCAAGCGACATCTTTGTTAGAAGTTTGCGTAGTTACGAAATATTCCGCCAGATGCCTCCTCTGTCAAAGCACAGCCAAGCTTTGCACGGCCAGCGTTTTTTGCTTGTTTATAGAGTGAGCGCCGGTCTCGGAGCGACGGGGCGTCCCGGCGGCGCCGTCGTCCCCTCCCTCAGACTGGGCAAGGTCTCCCCTCCCTCGGCAGACGGCGCGGCCCCAGAGGAAACGGCCAAGGCCGTGCCTGACTTACATCCCCGCTCTCTGCGGGCCGGAGAACGAAGTGGCGCTTGGTACATTGAGCAGCATTCTGCTCATTTTGACCATAGCTGCCGGAACATAATTCGTAAATTAAATTGAAAACTGCAAAAGACATTTAACTGACTTAACCCTCGCCCGTGTAGGGGGGATCAAACGGACCATGGTTTTTCGCGAATAACTCGCGTAAAAAGCGGTTGATCGCGATGAAACTTTCAGTACTGTCGAGTCAATCAATTGTACACCTACCCTCAAAATTTCATGACCCTGTCCCAAATGAACCTTGACCTGTGGCCTATTTTTCGAGACCATGTTTGGCCGGAATCGCGATTCGGCGTATGTCGGCTCGTATTAGCCGCGCGTTTGCAGTATTTTTGCGGTTTCAAACGTTCAAACATGTGATATGATGTTGGTCCTATGCATTATGGTGGGTGTCAAGGTCACCTGAAGGTCAGGTCAGACCATTGACCTTTGATGACCTAGGTTCACTTCTTCGAGTTTTACGTGTTTCTAGGCTACTTTTTGGAGCTGATTTCGAATTAAGCAACCATTTGAACATTTACGAAGTTGTTTTGGTGTCTTCGTAACATGTTACGAAGCTGTCAGCCTGTCAGTAACGGCTGACACGTACTATGAATACCTGGCAGGACGTCTACTGATTGGCCTGACCTGACCTGACCTGGCCTAAATGCATTAAGACATCATCTGTGATCAAAACTGACACGATATTCGTGGTCAGCACCCCGAAAAAAACCCTCATCAACCTCACTTTACGATGTTCTAACAGGTCCCGATTTTCCAGACTTGTGGGTCATTGACCTGACCTGGAAAGTCAACCAATGGCCTAGGACCTTAAAATTGGGTATCACCCCGGTCCCCGGCTACCTCTCGTCACGAGCAGCACGCTCATTTTTTTTTTCTCGAAGCTCTAGCTCGATCAGGGGCCAAACGGCAAGGGGGGGCGGTCCAACGGACCCGCCCCCCCCCCCTATACGTTCGAGGCTGGCAAAACACCAATACGGGCGAGAGTTAACCCGGCATTTGCTGGAGTATTTCGCCACACACCACTTGCTGGGTGGGGGTGGGAGGGGGGTAAACTTTCCCAACCCATAGCTCGAGAACCCATAGCCCATAGCCCATAGCTCGAGGCGCAGCGAAACGGGCGAGGCAGCAAACAAAATAACGCTACGAGACGCTTCTGATGAGTACCTTCAAGTGGAGTTCCGAGGTCACAGGTCGGTTCAAGATTATTTTAAATACCTGAAATTAGGCTTTTAATAGCATGGACTTTAAACCTCGAAATGGGCGTCTCTCGTAACAAACTAGTTATCCAACGGACCCCCCCCCCCCCCATATACGTTCGCGGCTGGCAAAACACCAGTACGGGCGAGGATTAAGGACTTATGTGTTTGTATGCTCTTTCCGTGACCGCGTTTTCAGCCGCTAGCATATATTTTTTTTTTTGGGGGGGGGGGGAATTCTGTTGGATCCCCAATCGTTCAGTCCCTAACCGAACTATAGCTTCGCGAAAACATGAACGTCCTACCGTAACTAAAGGAAGCCGACGATACCCGATTTTAAGATCGCCGGTCATTAGTTGGCATTTCAATTCGGGTAAATGACTTAAAAGTCAGGGAAATCGTGGCCTATTTTAACTTTTTAAAATGAGGTTGTTATGGAGTTTTTTTTCGGGGTTCTGATTTCGAATTTCGTGCAAGTTTTGATCAAAGACGATGTATCCGTGCATTTTGGGTAGGTCGGGTCAGGTCAGCTCAACCATTAGGCGTCACCGCCGACATCCAAATGGGTGTTTACCGCCACCAACAGCTTAGTTACAGTTAAGGATATGATGTGGACTGTGGAGTTTGTTAATGTAATGAGTGAATGAGAGCTTTACTCCACAAGAAATCGTTCGGGTCGGAGCTTTCAAATTGTATTTACAAAACTTCGTCAGCGTGTCGTAATCGGGTTCAGGGGGTATCGGTCGCAAAATATGTAGCATAGACACTGAAACTATTTCTCACAATGCACAATGGGACCGGAGCGAGAATTAGCGCGACATCGGTACTTTTTCGTGTTTCGTGCCCGCTTTTCACATGAAAGGGATGATAGAATCATACAAATGGTAGTTGGTGTACTTTCGAAGCAATTCCTGATAAATTTAGTTAAATAATCATTAGTCATTTAATTAATTAATTAATTAATCAATTGATTAATTAATTAATCAGTTGACCTGCGTTGGCCTTGACTCGGTTCGGTCACGTGATAAGATGGCATCACCTGCCAGCTCAAGTCATGACGGAACCGGAAATTCCGATAAGCAAATAATGTTGCCACCAAAACCATGATGGGAATCTGATAGCCTGATGGACTATATAACAAATAAAGTGAGGGTCAGAAAAGTGTAACATCAGACACTCCGATAGCAGGTACGGATATTTCCGGACAAAACTTAAATATAGTTGGCACTTGGCAGCCTTGTTCGACTCCTAGGAGGATCGGATCTGTTACTCCCAGCTTCCGGCCGGCTCGTGGTAACCGCGCACGGCCAGCGCCGGCGACCTGAAGTAAAAACAAAAATGCCCCTCATTTTCGATGTAGCAGGCTGAAGCAGCTAAATTATACATTTTCTGAAAGGCAATTGATCGGTAAAGACCATATATTGATAAAAGAAGAGCGCGACCTAGCGGGACGTTTTATATCGGCATTCTAGAATGTTTATAAAAGTAAAATTAACTCACAATTTTAAAAACACCTACAAACTTAACATTTGAAGCGTATTTATATATTCCGTAATAAGTTTTTCTTTCCATCGTGAAGCCCATGGTCTAAACTATCAGGTTATACCCCGAAAATATTGATAAAGCCGTCTAATATATATTTTTTCTTACCTACATTAGCCGCTACTTTTCTCCGTACGAAAACGGGTCTACGATGCTTGTCACAGAACTTTGTATTTGGGCTGATGTGGCGCGGACGCTATACACCATGGACGAAATTATTTTGCAGATTCGTGGTCCATGGACATTTCTGAACTACGTGGAACAGCCTAACTCAGTTTGGGAAAGGGCGGCAAATCCACCAATGTCCGCTAATTCGGGCCGCGGTCCCATCGTGCAATGGTCTGTCTTTTCAAGTTCAACCCTCACTGTAAACATCCTGTTGAACACATTTAAAATGTTTGGTAGGTTAACCACTCAAAAACTGGTTGGTTCACATATGATTTAACCCTCGCCCGTATTGGCGTTTTGCCAGCGTCTAACGTATCGTGCGTTGATACTAACGTCACGATTTATATTTGACCTGAGGTCAAATCTAACAACAGCACTCGGAAAGGCCTCTGAAAGAGCTGTTGAATGAGCTGTTCTGCGGCGCTGTAGCTCTATTGGTTCCCGAGTTATGCGTTGGGTGTTAAGGAAAACCTTGAAATAGGCAACATTTTACCTATGATGACCTCTGGTGACGTGACCTTTGACCCAGGAGCCGAGTTAGACGGGAACGTGAAAACGCCTCCCCCCAGCACGACACGGAAAACTTAGGCCACCAGCACGGCGCAGGCTAAGTTCGACCCTCGATGTAAACAACACAGCACGATATTTGCTATCTGAATTACTGAGAAAACTGGTTAGCGCACATTGTATTGAAGATATTTATATTTTCCAAATGTGTTTTAACCTGCGCCCCGCTGGGGGTCCTGGATTTCCACGCCCTGCTTGGGGGGGGGGGGGGGTGTTTGAACACCCACTTCTAACTCGACTCCTGGGCCACGTAGCGATACGCGGAAGGCGGCGTTCGAAAGAGCACCAAAAATATTAACGAAATCACTTCGGTCACTTTTTTGGTCAGGCTAAAGGTCAGGTCGCCAGTGGTCAAAGGCAAAATTTCGCCGATTTTCAGGTCAAATGTCGATAGTTTCCAAGAAGCCAACGCATAACTCGGGAACCGATATAGCTACAGCGCCGCGGAAAAGCGACTTCGATAGCCCTATTAACGCCCTTTCTGAATAATTCTCTCAGATTTGACCTAGAGCCAACGGTTTTGCCTGCAGGGGGCAAAAACTGCCAAAATAACCAATTTTTTGGAAAGTTTTTCTGCAATAACTTTTGACTCAAGCCTTGCACGAGCTTACTTTTACCAACATGACCTGACCGGAAAGGGTCATGTTGCATATCAGTCGATCCGTATCGTCGAGCTGAGCACATCCAAGGCGTTTTCATCGCTCTAGCATGCCTCTATCAAAAGGTACCTATTCGCGAAAAACTGTTAGATACTATTCGTGACCTGAGATGACCTCAGGGGCATAAACATGGGTCTCGGATACTATTTTCATGTTCAATTTGTCTTAATTTCTTGTAATTCAGTGTTTGGGAGTGTTTATAATGGCTTTGGTCCAAAAGAGGCGCCTTTCAATTTTCTCCCATTGACTTATAATGGGGGGGGGGGGGTTGCAAAATTGATCTGACCTTCGGTCATCGAAATCAAAACTCTGAGATATGCACAGTTTATCTTAGTATAGTTTACAGCGCGGAGCGGCGCCGTTTTTGGCACACCTTATAATACATCAATTCTACACATGTTTTGAAAATTTAAGACCAAGGTCATTTAACCCTCGCCGGACCTATTGGTTTTCTACATACGCGCCGGCCGAGGGGGGGGGCGGGTACGACCCCCCCCCCTCGCCGTTTCGCCCCTGGTGGAGCTAGCGCGTCGCGGAAAAAACGAGCGTGTGCACCGTTACGAGACGCAGAGACTGGTACCCGATTTTAAGGTCCTAGGTCAACCGGTGACCTCTGAGGTCAGGTCAAGTGCCCCAGGGTACGGTTCAGTTTTTGGTGAATAACTTCGCAAAAAACGGCCGCAGAGCCGCGATTTTGGCAGCATCGTGTTCGCCTCGCTCAGGCGCGTCGAATGATATACATTTTGTCTGGGTCAGGTCAACTTGGGGTGTTGACCTCAGGTCAAGGTCAGGTCAGCACCCCCAGGTCACGAAGTTGGTCGAAAGAGGCCATGTCGCATATCATTCGATTCGGCAGGTCTTCCTGAGTCCATTGGTGGCTTTCTCGACTCGCTAGCTCAATTTGATCGGGAGTTATTGACGAAAAACTAATATGACCTTGATGACGTCATAAATGACGTCACGCAAGGTCAACATTGCAAAAGTGACGCATCTAACCTTGCAAGGAGTGCATCAAATCACGATTCTGTGTGCTTGAGATAGTTGGAGATCGTTCCCGGCGCCAGAATAGCAGTTTTCATTTTTCCCCATTGACTTATAATGGTGAGGTCACGAAAATGACCTGACCTCATATGACCTTTAGGAAAAATCCGAGATATACAAGTTGTGAGACTCATAATGGATACTAGATCCTGCAAGTTTCATTTCCCTGTGACATCTCCTCTGGCAGTGAGGGCGTTGCGAAGTTGCGACATCTGAAGACCGTGCAGAGGTTCACTTATGACGTCATAGGTCAGTGACCTGACCTGACCCAAAAATGCGGTTGGTGTCAAAAGATGCGGCTTGGATCCAAGGTCAGGTATGCCAAGTTTCAGCTCTCTATCGCCAGCGTGTTCGGAGCTATCGCGAAAAAACCCTATGGGGGGCGGCACCCGCCCCCCCCCCCCCTCGGCCGGCGAGGGTTAAGGTCAGGTCACCAGGTAACTTGAAGTGACCTCACCTCATAAAAAGCTTCAATGACCGCCATAGCTACACCAAGTGACCGATCGCTTCGAAAGTTTCAACGATTGCTAAGAGCAATAGTATGTACAAAATGTACATGCTATTGCAAAATGTACATAATTATAAGGTGTGCCAAAAACGGCGGCGCTCCGCGCTGCCGTTTTTTTTTAGATATTCGTGAAAAAACACAGGGGGGGTGTTCAAACACCCCTCCCCCAGCAGGGCGCGGGTTAAACACCGATGATGTACCGTTATGTTAAACGCCATGCGATTGACTAACCGGCGCCGGGCCGGTGCTCGGCGCCACCTGCACTGGGGGGGGGGGGGGGGTTGAACACTCCCCTTCTCACTCGGCTCCTGGGCCACGTAGTGACACGCCGTAGGCGGCGTTCGAAAGAGCGGCAGAAGTAATGAAGAAATTATATCGGCCACTTTTTAGGTCAGCTTAAAGGTCAGGTCAACAGAGGTCATCAAAGGTAAAATTTAGCCACTTTCCAGGTCAAACTTCGATAATTTCGACAAACCGGGGCGCATAGCTTAGGAACGGTTTAGCCTGCAGGGGCTAAAAACTGCCAGAATAGGTAGATGGTTTTTGCGGGAACTGTTTTTCTGCAATACCTTTTGACTCAAAAAATGCACGAGCTTACTTTCAGCAGCATCGTGTTCCTCTCGTCAAGGCGACGCATCGAAAGAACTATAAGTTGACCTCAAAAGTTCAACTTAAAAAATTTACTTTAGGTCAAGGTCATGACCTCAGGACAAGGTCATGACCTCAGGTCAATGTCATGACCTGACCAGAAAAGGTCATGCTGCATCAGTCGACCCGTATTGTCGAGCCAAACACATACGTATAAGGTTTTTCCATCGCTCTAGCATGTCTCTGTCAAAAGTTATTTGCGAAAAACTATAGGATACCATTCGTGACCTGAGATGACCTCAGGGACATTAAGAGAGGTCACGGGTACCATTTTCCGTTTCAGTTTGTCATGTCTACTTGTAATTCGATGTTTGAAAGCGATTAGAATGACGTTCGGCCAAAAGAGGCGCCTTTCAATTTTCTCCCATTGACTTATAATGGAGAGGTCGCAAAATTGACCTGACCTTAGGTCACCGATATCGAAGTTCCGAGAGATACATTTTGTGGATCATTATTATTATTATTGTTAACATTATGTGTATTGCGTATACTGTTGTTTTATCAGTTACTCAAAGTTTCAAGGTGATCAGTCACTCGGTGTAGCTGTGACAGGCATTGAAACTTTTTCATGTAGTAAGGTCACTTGACGTGATATGGTGACCTGACCTTGGATGACTTTGGTCTGAAGTTTTCACAGAAGGCGTAGAAAAGATGTATGACAAGGTGTGCAAAACACGGCGGCACTCTGAGCCGCCGTTTTTTAGATATTCGCGAGAAACCGGAGGGGTTGTTCAAACAGCCCCCCGCAGTGCGTGGGTAGGGGTGTGTGATCAAGGATGAGAGTGTTACATACCTAACCTATGCACGTTTGCCTCATTTACCTACATAAGCACACCCGCCAATATAATAGATTTCTCACGGTCTTGATGCCCGCTTCTCCTCGTCGCCTGCTCGGCACCGGTCCCCGCGGCACCCGCAGCGTCGATAGTCGGCCGGTGCAGCGTTCAGAGGTATCGTGCTCCCGCCTGCTCGGAACCATTCCCCTCGGCACCCTCCGACCGCCCGCAGCGTCGATAGCCGGCCGGTGCAGCGTCCAGAGGTATCGTGTTTCTAAGGGACTTAGTGGCATTCCACTCTATTTCCTGGTGGCTTCCAAAAACCACTGCCACAGCACCATTACCCCATCTGGTGGCTGACTTGTTAAATATCAATTCACCCGGCGTCAACCAGAGGCATTTTGTACCTTCCGATTTTAGACGATGTGATTTTGTATGATACGATCATCTCGTTTTGTAGGTTGCAGTTTTGTATGATACGCGTTTGTTTGATCTGCCATTGTACGTTCCAATTTTGTACGTTCTGATCATTGTTTGATTTGCCATTGTACGCTTTACCCATTGGACGGTAAACTTTTGTACGTTGGGATTTTGTACGCTGCGCTTTTGTACGTTTGGGCTGTCCCCTACCTGGCCTGTTTTGTAGGTTTTGCGCGTTGTATGTTACGATTTTGTATGTTTTGAGGATTGTACGCTGCGCTCTTGTATGCTTTGATAGCCACCCGACCACATCACTTATAAATGTCGGAGGGCTTATTGGAGGCTGACGTCGGTCCGTTTCATTACTATGAGTGCCTCTATGTATACATATGTAGGTACCCGATTGATTCAGAGCCGCCCGAGTCTCCTAGCGGCAAGCCTTTGACGCAAGTGCTGCCACGGTGCAGCGCCCCCTCCCTCCCCTCTTGGGCATAATCGGTTGGATGGCTGCAGGGCAGAACTGTGCTAAAAACGGAGCAATTGCGAAGGGCTGGAGATAACTATATACAGTTTATGATAAAACAGAATAATAATGTAGCTGAAGGAGGAAAAACGAAAGAAGACAAAAATAGTAAGAAGCAATATACTCAAGCATAAATTTCGAATGAAACAAACATAGCAAGGAATATAGCGAGCAAACGAAAAGAGCTAAGAAAAGAAACACAAATGAATAAATATATTTTTCGTCTTTTGAAACTCGCTGTCTCCCGATTCGCCAGCCTGTGTGTGACCTGCCGTGGGTCATCTGACGCCTGACCTGCGCCGGGGACAGCTCGATGCTGGCCACGGAGAGATCCGAGTCGCTGAGGTACGGGCCGGGCGACACGTTCATGCCGATGTTGAAGTCGCCGTGCTGCACCTCCTCGTCCTCGTGACTCATGTCCTGGTAAACGCAGGTGCGCTTGTGATATAACGCAGTTACATCGCTGTGTTTTTAAACGATCATATAGTTCACAACTGTTACATAAACCGAAAATTATAACGTTTATGAAAACACATTTATATCCTTAGCACACAGTGTTGCAGGTGCTAACCCAAATAAGGAGACTGTGTCGCTTACGCACCACATTTTGGTGGCTCTTCATGACCAGGAAGTCTTGTATGCCGAAGTCGTAAAAGTGGAACTGGCTGGGGTCCATGTTGCTGAAGTAGTCGCTGAGGTCGTTGCGGAACTGCCGGGTGCCCAGCATCATGTCCTCGGCCGAGCGGCACTCGGCGCGTCGGAAACCCACCTCGGGGGACCTGTGGGGAGTGGGGGGGGGGGGGTCGTCTCGGTCAGCCCACCTCGGGGGACCTGTGGGGAGTGGGGGAGGTCGTCTCGATCAGCCTACCTCGGGGGACCTGTGGGGGGGGGGGAGGTCAGCTCGATCTCATCCCATATCGGGGGACCTGCGGGGGTCGCCCCGACGAATAATGGTCAGCCTGACAGTGGTCGGATCTACCAGTCGGTCAGCCGGGCCCGGGCCCTCGGTCTCTTATCGCTGTTATTCCAAATGAGTGCAACATCTTACCTAACTTCTTCGAGATATTTACAGCAATGTTTAGGTAAAACATCGTGCGCCTTGTATGTAACGGCTTCGCATATGTCGTTGAGCATGTTTCCGAAGCTGAATATATGTACATTGTACATAAAGGTCACATCACTTCCTGGCGGTTTTGAGAGACAGACGCTGTCAATGTTCCAATAAGAACATATGTAAGTAAGTATATATGCTCAGTGCTCACCACCTGGCATTGCCGGGTGGTGAGACGAGCGATTTACCACGAACAATAACGGGCCAAGTCAAACACTAATCTATACCAATCGCTATGGCCGTGGTGGGCGATCGGCGGCTTTATTGGCCTCAGTGGAGGCAGCAGTGTTCCGGTGATCAGCGACCAATTGTAACGATCTGTCAACAGGAAGCACCAACTGACTATCAGCTGCCCAGCTTAGTGGAAACGTCATAGACCTATTGTGCATTTGCATAGAATAAATCTGATTGCGGAATACCTATCTAATGTCATAACACTTTTTTCTGTTACCATGAAACATGGCTGCCCAGATGGTTGGCGCCTGGCGGCGTCAGGCAAGCACTCCCACTCCGTTCGTCATCAGCTGGCTCCGAGAGTGAGAGGCCCTGTATCCAAAGGCTATGGTGTTGCTTCTGGTAGTGAATACGTGCTGGTCTTACTCATACAGGCAAGCGAAACCAGCTCATCGCTGTTTGCGCAACTATTGATAACGTTCAGTTTTCGTTGCCAACGAATTGATCCGTGTTATACATTCATTTACGTTTCTAACGGAAACGCTCTAACAACGGGAACTGTGCTCACTAATAGCATAAACGCCTCTGATTAACGGAACCGCTCACCGAACGTTCTATACTCGGACTTGTATGTATTATATCTTGCGTGTGTATAATCATATGAGTGGTAGTGGGAATACCGCAAGTTCAACACATTTCTACGTGAGTTAGCAGCAGAGCTCAGCTCCGATGGCGATTATGCTCGGAGCAGAGTGACCTGCAGCACTGACCGGGTCCGGCTGTCGGCCCTACCTGCTGGTCCTCCTGCTGCACGGCTGGCTGGGCGCCGACCTGGTCCGGCTGACCTCGGGCGCCGCCAGCGAGAGACCATCGGTCGGCGGCGGACCCTCCGGTGGCTGCTGGTCCTCCGTCGGTGGCTGACCCGCGGCGGGGGGCTGGTCAGCCGGGTCAGCCGGCTGCGAGACCCCCACCTCAGCCATCGGCGAATGGCGGCCCTCAGCCATCGGCGAGAGGCGGCCCTCGCTCAGCGCGCGGTCACTGCCGTCCGCCGACAGCACTGGCTCCGGAGACGCGGCTGCGTCGGTGTCCGTTTCCATGGTAACCAGCGGAACCAGAGAGGCCCCGACGGGCCGGTCGCCGTCCTCCATTACACTGATGGGCCGAGGGTATCGAGCTGAAATGTGATGACGGTAGGTTGATGCATGTGTGATTTAGAAATGTCATTCGAGTGCCATTTTCGTGATAACATCAACCATAGGCTTCTCTAATTATAGACTGTGCGCTGATCTGAGGAAATCAGCATTGGAGGCCCAAATTTCTGAAGCCGGCCCAAATTATTTAGAGAAGTATGTACAGGTCTCGCGGGTTTTAAGCGTAGGTTTTGCCTTTTCCGGCTATATCTTTTTCGTCTTCAGCTTTGTAGGCTTGAAGATGTGACCGATTTATTCGTATAACTCCCTTTCATGATCATGTAAAAAGGTTTGATCGTATGCCGGCTAGTTTCGGAGAAATTAAAAGAAAACCTCAAAATTCGCCGTTTGGGGCATTCTGACCGCGGCTTCCCTGCAGTCGCCTATGACTACAGTGGCGCCACCCGACGAGTAGGACGCTGAAACACCATGAATGAATCCAGCGCGTGGTGAACGGTGGATAGAGGCGGGACTCGGCAGAGGCTATCACTGCGGCCCGCACAGGGCGTCCTTGGACAGCGGGCGAGCCTTCGGGCGGTGAGGCCAGAGGTCACGACAGCCAGGCTCTGTTTGGCATGAAGGGAGGGGAGGCGCTCGCCTCAGCCAACTCAGCCGGTTTGGTGGTAGTGGTGGTGGTGTGGGGGGTGGGGGGCAGACGAGAGGGGCTAGAACAAACGGGATAAAATAGAATGGAAATGTCGTGCCATGGTCAAATTACAATATTGTTTACCTTATAAGCATTTATTAACATTACGAAAGAACCCACCATATTAAATTGAGAAGCATCAAGCATCCCTACCTACAGGAAATTTTATTTTTCGATGTTACCGTTTACTTTTAATGGAAACCCTACTTCTTATTAGGGGTGATAAAATGAGCCCCTCTCCTCAGTTTTTTTTTCTGAATAACTCGCGTAAATAGTGGCGGATAGCAGCGAAGCTTTCAGTGCCGTAAGTTATTTTTCTCACCATAAGTAAATAAATACCCATGCGGCCAGGAGTCAGGATAAGTTCAGGCCATCTGCAATTAAAAGTTTACACCTACCCTGAAAATTGCATGACCCTGACCAAAATGACCTTTGGTCTGTGACCAGTTTTGAGAGCCCATTACAGGCCAGAATGTGCATTCGGCGTGTCAGGTCTCATTAACCGTTCGTTTCTAGCCCTCGCACGACCAGGCCATTTCTCATAACACGAACGACCAGGGGGGGGGGGGGTTGTTACGACCCCCCCTGGCGTTTCGAAACGGAAGGTCGTAGAGCTTAGCGGAAAAAACCAACGGATTGCTCTCAACGAGATCTCGCGATTGGTGGTATATTTTTTGGTCCTAGGTCAACATTTGACCTACTTATGACCAGTCAAAGGTCAAATTTTCCGAAAAAATCAAACTTTTTTCAACTTTCCGCGGCGATTGCGGCAAAACGGTGGAAGATATCGACTTGAAACTTTCACTATCGTGTTCCTTGATCAATTCTCTATCGTTTGGTATGTATTTCGTTTCCCTAGCTCTAAAAATGGCGCGTTGGGAGCGCCGGAAGTCGGCAAGGTCACAGTCGGCGGCAGAAATTCGAAAAATCAAAATTTAAATTTTTGAAATCTGATTGTATTTTTGGATTTGGGAGGTCCATTTGCTCCCTATAGAAGCTAATATTGCTGCATATTCCCATTGAGGTGACAAGAATTAGCAAAATAGTGGTTCGGGCGCTTTTCAAAAATAGTACCGGACGCTGTTCCTTTTGTGACGTCATAACTCCGTGACCTGACCTGACCCGGTCAATTTTCTTGCACCACACGATAGCCAATGCTTGCCCCAACATGCATGGGAAGTTTCATCATGATCCATCAAACAATGTGGGTATCACCGGCAGAAAACCTAGGGATTCGGCGCACACGTTTGGTAACTGTCGGCCGGAGGCTGTACCTCTTATGACGTCATAACTCCGTGATCTGACATGACCCGATCAATTTTTTTTCGGCAAAAGATGCGCAAAGGTTGCCCCAGAGGGTATTGAAAATTTCAGCCCGCTACGACAAGCCGTTTAGCGTGCACTTTGAAAAAACCTCAGGGGGGGTTGATACAACCCCCCCCCCCTAGGCGTTCTAGGGCTAGACTTGTGATTAGAAACGTCCCAACATGTGAAATTGTGTTTGGTCCCTTGTATCTTATCTGGCCGGGACCAGCGCAGGAACTTGGCCGGTGCCTTCAGGGCTGCTTAACTACAAATTTGCCGATCTGCGGAGCGCATGGAGCCGATCTAGCCAGGTTGAAAACCACTAGGAATGACATTGCGGCACAGCTAATCTTCAAGGTTTCCGCGCCCCTAGCATATCTGCTGTTTAGCTGCCGGTTTCCGGTCACATGGCGAGGTCACTAGCAATGGAAATGGATTATGGAAACACGCTGAACAGGCTAGTGAGAAGGATTCACGTTCATATTAAATCTGTGCATTGTCGCTTAATAGTTTAATACCTATACCGACCATTTTCAAAAGAGGCTAATTTCTCTTGCTCTCTCTCTCTTGCTCTCTCTCTTGCTCTCTCTCTTGCTCTCTCTCTTGCTCTCTCTCTTGCTCTCTCTCTCTTGCTCTCTCTCTTGCTCTCTCTCTTGCTCTCTCTCTTGCTCTCTCTCTTGCTCTCTCTCTTGCTCTCTCTCTCTCTTGCTCTCTCTCTTGTTCTCTCTCTTGCTCTCTCTCTTGCTCTCTCTCTTGTTCTCTCTCTTGCTCTCTCTCTCTTGCTCTCTCTCTTGCTCTCTCTCTTGCTCTCTCTCTTGCTCTCTCTCTTGCTCTCTCTCTTGCTCTCTCTCTTGCTCTCTCTCTCTTGCTCTCTCTCTTGCTCTCTCTCTTGCTCTCTCTCTCTCTCTCTCTCTCTCACTCTCTCTCTCTCTCTCTCTCTCTCTCTCTCTCTCTCTCTCTCTCTCTCTCTCTCTCTCTCTCTCTCTCTCTCTCTCTCTCTCTCTCTCTCTCTCTCTCTCTCTCTCTCTCTCTTATACCGAAAGCTCCATAAAAGCTAACGACAAAAACTTCAAGACAGGTCTAGACCCTTCCGACTATTGAGTCATTAACCCTATTAGTGGCAGGGGGGGGTTGTTTTTATCCACCCCTCAGGTTTTTCGGGAATATCTCCGAAACCGCTGAAGCTACGATGCTGAAATTTTCTGACTTTTCCTAAAACTAAATTGGGCACATTCCCTGAAAATTTCAAGTTCATAACTTTACCAGGGGCGGCTCCAGAGCACTGGGAATTGGGGGTCCTATTCGTGAAGCGAGTCATTTGGGCGAAGATCACGATGCTGCACCAGTTTTACGAACAGTGAATGAAAGGTATCATGTGATAACATATACAAAGTTATTGTGCATCCTCTTTTGACACGTTTTTGCTATAATAGGCGGATCCAGGCGTCCAAAAAGGGGGGTTATTTTTTACCTCCCAACATAGGTGCCCTGACACCGCCTATGCATGACCAATACAATTTTAGTCGTTCTCTCATAAGAAAATTGTAACATAACAAAACCATTGCCACCCTTTTTAGAAACAGTACCAACAAAAACCTTATTTACTATACTTTTTGTGTACCCCCAATCTCAATGATCTGTATACGCCTATGATTTTTGAAAATGCATATTTTTAGGATCCATGTGAATTCCTGGTTCATTCTCTATCGATCGGCAAAAGTTGCGTTAAGATTGGTTCAGAAACCTGGCCGTGATAAACAGTCTAAAATGTATCTGCAATTTGCCCGTTTTTACCCCCCTCTACCCCCCTATTGACATTTTTTAATTTTATTTTTTTTTTAGAAATGTAGATCTCGTTGAGCCAAATCGAATGCCGTTTGAATTTTGAAAATCGGCCGGTTAGATCTCGAGATATCAAGGGGGGTCGTAAACAGCCCCCCCCCCCTGCCACTAATATGGGGTAGCCAGGAGCCTGCCACTAATAGGGTTAAACTGACTTGGAAGGTCAACGTATGACCTATGGTCAACGAATGACCTATGATCTATAAATTGGGTATCATCGGCTTCCTCTCGTCACGTGCAACATGCTCCTTCTTTTCAAGAAGCTCTACTTTGATCAAAAGCCGATCAACTGTGGGGTCTGATCCATCCCCGCACAAACGTTAGCGCCTGCGAAAACGCCGATATGGGTGCGAGTTATAGCATATTCTTATATAAACAATGATATGTTTTGCTTTTTTAGCGGCTCACTTCGATTTTGTTCTGAAAATAACGCAAAAAAAAATCAGCATACAGTGATGTTACTAAACTTTTACGCCTGGTTTCCTTTTAATGATACAGCAATTTCATTCATGCAACATATCTATTGGTCAGTTTTGTGAAAAAAAAAAATGTGGAAATATAGTGCAGCAGAAAACAAAACTTTGTTGTGAAACGACCTCCAGCCTCAGCAGGTCACGGTTTACCCGATCACCCCGTTGGGGGGGGGGGGCAATAAAGCCCCCCTGTGTATTTTCCTGAATAGCAAGAAAACGGCGGCGCGCAGCCCCGCCAAATTTTCAGTAGCTTGCCGGAAATCAATTTGACACATTCACACAAAATCTCAAGTCTTAGGTTACCTTAGGTGAGGAGTTATTGAGGTCAAACTGAGGTCATGTTCGAGCAAAAATGAGCAAAAAACATGAAATCTTGAAACGCTCATTAAAGCTACAATGAACAAGCAATTTCAAAGCTCTATCTTGTCGTGTAGAGGAAAGAAGGCGCTACAAAACTGCAATCTGGGATTTTCAAACCTTTGAGATTTTGACCCCACAAATAAAAAATTGTTCTGTTATAAAATAGCAAAAAAAAATCGAATTAAAAAAACGGAAAACATTTATAATAGTCCCTGCTTTCTTCGATCTACATCACAAATTGTAGATCGATACCTCCTTTTTTGGCCAAGTTTTAGCGAAAAAAAAAAAAAACGTTCAAAATTGATAACGTCAATTTTTAACTCAATTTTTAGCAATTCTAGACCACGTAGCGCAAAACAAAGACCAGTGGGGGATCCAGGTGGGGGGCAAAATGGGCATTTGCCCCCCCCCCCAAATGGCATAATTTTAACATTATGCCTATGGACGATGCATGGAAAGAATCGATAAATTGTTATGGTTTGCCCCCCCCCCCCCAAAAAAAAACTCGGAGCTAGATCCGCCTCTGACAAAGACCACCATTAGCCTTCCCGTGACGAGCTACATCGAATCGATGCCCATTTTATGCAAAAATATCAAATTAGAAATTTGACCAAATTTTACCTGACCTTTACCTGACCTTCACCAGAACATAACCTAAACTGCAGCCCCAAAGGCTGCCTGACCCACATAATCGCATTTGTCATGTAAAATGAACCAGAAAACATGCATCACATAATATGTAGTTATTTTCATATTGTGACCCTCAGTGACCTGACCTCTGTGACCTGACCTGGTATCAGTGACCCCAAATAGCAAAATACATGTGTTTGACGAACATTTCCCCATCAAAAATTGTCATTCATCAATTCCTTATCGATGAATGACATTATACATTTTACTTGATTTTACAACACATTTCTTGAAATGCCTGTAAACGGTGAAAATTCGACATTTGACCTGACCTGTGACGTCATCGGTTTGACTGAGGTCAATGAAACTGAGCCAAAGTGTATTTCCTCGTTGGGGCCATCCAACACCGTTTGCTGCTTGTCGCTATTTTGCGTGGTTCTCGAGATCTTAAGGGGGGGGGGCAAAATACTCCCCCCAATGGGACCGATACTTGGAAGACCCTAACGGGGCGCGGGTTAATGACAGAACTGGTCCCAAGAAATAACATTACAGTCGTCTCCCGGCCTCAATGGTAAGCGACTAAAACTTTGAACGACTACCTATGGATCGGCACGCTGCCGGCTCACTCCGCCCGCTGGCTACGGGTGGCCTTGACCGTTCAATGCCGATTGGCCAACGGCCGAGGTCGTGCGCTGGTCAGCACGCAGAGAGGACGGAACGCGGTACTGCACATTGTGAGTGACCTCTGACCTTTCCCCGTCCCCTGACCGCATGCCGTGTCGCCGGCCCAGACGATAGAAACCGGTTCTAGTCTCTACGCAGGCTGCCACTCTGACCCTTCCCTCCCCACTTTACTATGTGTCGTAGTACGCACTCGCGAGTAACTGGGCGGAGCAAATGGTCACCGATACAGAGGCGGAACTGGTTGCCCTCCCGCTCGCCGTGCGACCTACCGCTAAAACCCGCGAGACCTGTACATCAACCAATACAAATTTGACATGTGACATTTGAAGTCAAAAGGAATCTACGTTGTATTGCTAGATGAGTGATTAGTACTTAAAATAATTAATAGTTCCATGAATCCTTATGGCTGCACGTGAATTTCCTTATGCATCAATGTATTCACATTGTGCTCTATTGTAAGAATTAAACTGATGATTGTTCCCATTTTAAACTGCGTTTTTGTACTATTTCTGCTTTGTTGGCTGGCATTCGGTTTGAATTAGACTTACCTGTGTAATTAATCACGGCATCATTTATCAGTAAGCCTGTCATTATCGGCAAGGAGCCAAATTAAAAACGCAGGCGAGAGCGCAATGCCCAAGAAAAAGGCTAGTCGTTATTGGAAACGGGGCGTTACGTAAGCTGCATTGCGTCTGTCGTTCTCCAGAATAGTGTCAAGTATTAGCGCCAGCAAAAAAGATCACCAGTATAAGATACGGGACTCTAGATCAGGGTTGTATACCAATCAAGTCGATTGAATTGATTGATTTGATTCAACGCGTATTTTGAGTTGATTGGATTGAGTCGATTGACTTTTCGAGATGACTGGTTGACTGACTCGTTTGACTTTAGCGACTGGTTGACTGATTTGATTCCCGAAAATTAGAGTGACTCGTATGATTGAGTCGATTGAATGGAAAGTTGAAATAAGTTTTAGTTGACAAAAAATAATGACACCAATTGATGACATCAAAGATCACAAAACTACACTGAAAACTGCTTGTCATCACAACTGCAATATGGGGTAGATGGCCAAATAAAGAACAGGGCCTAAACATGAACAGCCAACTTTGACTTTCAACTGCAATAACTGCTCCAATCCTGTGATTGAACCTGGCCATGGATGAGATAATACCTGGCGATGCACCTACCTACCTTTCTGCACTCAGCAGGAAACTTTTTTTTAATCCAGATGATAAAGTGCAAGGCCCTATATACTAATAAAGTGTGATTAATTAATAATTCACACCTCCACATCTCCTCAGAAACAACCCACTGAACTCTATAAATATCTGAAACCCCTACAAAAATAACTGAAACAAAAGCGTCGTTTTCGTCTCGTTAATTACGTTTACGTAAATTAATAGCTAATTTGCTGCATTGTTTAATTTGCAGCAGAACGTTTGTTGATCCTTTTTTCCTGAGAGCCTAAGCATAACATATTTAATATATTTCATTTTCCTTAAAATATTTTACCGAATTTTATTAAGTGGTTTTATTTCAAATGAAATAATAATTAAAACGAAATTGGTGTTGTACAACCGATTTATTTTATGATGACCTACCATACAACATAATAATCAATGACGTCATCTTACCAAAAAATCAAAAGACGTAGAATAAGGATTTATAAAAGCTTAGCATACTTATCGGCAAAACGTTTTGTCCAACGTTTTCTTTGTTTTTTTTTTCGCAGTCGCACCGTGCCGTTTTCGCGTTTTAATTTGTACCTACTTCCTTTGTCTTTAACTTATCCTGTGGTTCCAGAGTCCCTGTCCTTTCCATTTCCTTTTAAATATATTTTTAATGCTCCTCCCTATCCCCCAGTCCTAACAGTTTCAAATTGTATTGCAATAAAATGTTTTGAATTCTTCACACATAACCTATCTACCTTCGTTGGTACTGTTGGTAGCCAGTGACACATCTAGGCAGGTAAGTAGGTACCTACCTGCTTTCCTGCTGTCTTCATAAAGCATACCTAATGAAGTTGTCAAATTTGTAGCACATTTTCAACACTTTCATATGGTGTCAGTGTGGCATGAAACCTAGCTAGGTTCATTATGTTCAGGCCCAGGGTTCAATTCAGAAGAGCTCCGCATAACTCACATAATGATAAGAGACAGACGGGGGCTTTACATGGGGTAGATGGCCTGATGACTTAGCTGGAATATGGCCAAAATTAAATTGACAACTTTTAGGTGAAAGGTGGTGATTTGGGTTAAGGGGCGTTTGTTGAAGTCAACTACTGGGTTATTTTGCACCCATTAAATGAAACTTCTGCTCCAATTCTACCCATTGAACCTCAATATCATGATCCACCTGTCCATCACTATGTATCCTTCCTTATTACATAGAAACTTTGAATGGCATGGCAATTTATAATTTTAAATGACAATATTTTTGTTTCTTCTGTAGGTAGGTAGGTAGGTAGGTAGGTAGGTACACCAGACTGCTATGGACACTTTTCCAAGTTGGTGGGGCAAAAAACCTAATGTATATCTTGGTTTGAGTCGTTTGATTGAGTTGATTGATTCCTTTCATTGTCGCGTTTGAGTCGATTGAATCAATTCCCGAAAACTGCTCTGACTTGATTGATTTGATTGGTTTCCCAAATTTGTCGTGATTGAATTGATTGCTATTGATTGAGTCGTATACAACCCTGCTCTAGATATTAATATTAATAGCCTCATCCCACTTCTTTACGGAGGGCAAGTCAATACAGAGGTTAGAGATGCAGGTTAGATTTTTCCCTAAGCGTTAACTGGACGATGCTTAGGCTAAAGTGCAGCAAAATGCTCCCCCTGAAAGCCAAAGCTAGTTGTCTTCCAGCGAAACATTATTAGACGAGATTCTTTTAACCCTCTCCCATATTGGTGTTTTGCCAACGTCTAACGTACAGCAAGGGCGTTGGACCCCCTCCCCCTTGCAGTTCAGCCCCTTTCGAGCTAGAGCTTCATGGAAAAAAACGAGCGTGCTGCTCGTGGCGACAGCTGAAGCCGATGATAGCCGGTTTTAAGGTCCAAGGTCATTGGTTGACGTTCTAGGTCAGGTCAATTACCCAAAAGTCGGGAAAATCGGGACCTTTTAGTGTTTCGTAAAGTGAGGTTAAGTTGTAGGGTGCTTATCAGGAATTTCATGTTAGTTACGGATCAGGTCAGGTCAGGTCAACCAGTAGGGGTCGTGACGGGTATTCGTAGTACGTGTCAACCACCTCTGACAGCTTCGTAACACGTTACGAAGGAGCCAAAACTACTTCGTAAAGGTTCAAATGGGGCCAAAGTCGAAATTAGCTCAAAAACTACTCTGGGTAAAACTCGATAAAGTGAACCAAGATCATCAAAGGTCAATGACCTTGACCTGACCTTCACGTAACCTTGACACCCACCTGACCATAATGCATGTGACCAACATTATTTCACATGTTTGAGCGTTAAAAACCACCAAAAGGGCTGCAGAAACTCGCAGGTAATGTGAGCCGACGTACGCTAAATCGCGATTCCGTGGCCAGACATGGTCTGGCGAGAAACAGGTCACATGTCGTTTTGGTCAGGGTCATGAAATTCTCAGGATAGGTGTCAAATTAATTAACTCGAGTGTACTGAAACTTGTGTCGCCATCGGCCGCTTTCTGCGCGAAATATCCGAAGGGAGTCCGTTCGACCCCCATAAGTGCGAGGGTTAAGGACATAGTTATGTGTGCTACAATTGATATTTATCGCTAGTATACGAGGTCAGTTGCAGGTTGGGACTCTTTATCCACCGGTTATCTAATACCTATATATGTATGTGCCTCAGTAGGGTGACCCTTTTTGCAACTTTTTTTGAGAAGCTAGCCAGCACGCCCCTAGATCGACGTGGCTTGATGCCCTGAGCACGAAAATACCATTTTTGACCAGAATTTTTGAATTTGAAAGCCCGCCCCGAAATTTAAAGATGGAAAAATGAGCCTGTTTTTGCGATTCTGACATTTTCGGTGCAGCTATTCAATAGTTTCTATTTAAAGAGCATAGTGAAATGGCATAATATAAGTTACCACACTAATTCTGCGCCGGCATGGTAAGTTTCATACCTCTACTCCCATTTTACCAGTTTTTATCGAAGATTTTCCGATGAGCGTCGGCCGCCCGTTTAGCTCGAGCTTTCAGAACCGGTCAGTAGATGGCTGCACATTCGTACCATGGACGGGACGCCTGTGATTGGCTCTCGACGTGGTTTGTATTATTATTTCCTCTTCAGCAGAAGGAAACTTGTACATTTCGATGTTTACCACATTTCCATCACATTCATTTCACCTTGCATGCATACTGAAGCATGAAAAACACGCGTGCCCGAAAGCGATGATGCGTTTTTACGCTCAATAACGTGTTTTAAAGTGTGTGGATTTTGAGTACCGGCTTTATGGAGGGCTCTCAGTGTGTCTTTTATTGTCATTTCCATATCCGCATTAAAAATTCATATTTTTATGTTTTTGTCTCCATTAGTCTTATATTTTATCCTATATGTATAGTATGTATAACAACTGTTATAGGTACCTATGCATGTTTATTCCCTTTCAACCACTTGCGGGAGCACTCAGTCTGTTACGAGAGACATTGCTACTAGCAAGGTAGATGCTTTGTTCAGATTTAGAAAATTGCGGTTCGTCATAAATAAATCCAGCAGCTCTAGGTCACATGTCAGCGCCCGAGGCGCCGCTCGCACGTAATGGGTCAATCTCATAAAGGGCGGCAGTCGCTGACACAGCTTCGCCATGGCGGGTACTCGGCGGGCTTTGCGATCTACCAAAAAAACACACCATCTCTTTGGCATCAAGCCAGCGAATCTTCCCAAAAATCAGCTTCCGACGTGTCGAGACATAGTGGCCAGAATTTTGTATTTAAGGTCAGATGAGAGAAACGAAAGGGGTGTGGCTGAATCTTGCGTCGCAATGTCACCGTTGTTGGCACAGGTGGGGGACGAGTGCCTCGATATCTGGAGACGCGCATCGCTGCCGACCCTGGCGAGATTCCGGGTTGTCAAGAAGGTTCACACGTTGTGGAAGACGAAGGATATGGTTCGAAAACACGGAGCAAGAAAGGGCAAGCTTGTCACCGCTAAACCAGCAGAGATGAGTCGGCTGTTCGACATCAGGAGCGGGTCGCAGAAGCCCGTGTCGAAGGAAGACCTGAAATTCCTCGAGGACCAGCGCACCAAGCGGCGTCTTTATATTGGACCTGTGGACTGGTAAGTGGCAGATAAATACATGTTTATGATATCTATGTGTTTCGCACCGATATAATCCCCAAGTTTCAATTTCGAATTGACAATTGCGTTTTTCTGTTTCACAGGACCGCAACGATCGCACGGCGGCGTTCCGAGGCACGCCGGGCTGCTGAGGCAAGGCTGCTACAGCGCGGACGCGACACGGCCGGGCCCAGCCGCGGCCCTGACCACCAGAACGCAGCCGTAGCCGTCGCCGACCACACCGCCGGTCGCTGCAAGCGCGCTGCTGCCGTTGCTGCTACGGCGGTCATCGCTGCCGGAGACAGGAGGACGGGGGAGGAGGCCAGCAGCGCAGACTGCTCCAGCGAAGACTCGGACGACAGCTACCAACCTCCGAGAAAGGCCACACAGCAGGGATCGCAGCCTCTCCGTGCAACAGCCGAAGCTCTAGACGCAAGTCACGTGGGGGCTAGGAAAGGATCAAAAATCTTAACAGCTCTAAAGGAAGACCTGGGCCTGTTGGGCTTCCAAAACAGCGGACTTGTAACGAAACGGAAAGTGCAGAACTCGCTGGACAAGTGCCGTGAGGACAAGCTCCAAGGCCTGGCGGCAGACACAGCTGCATGTACGGCCCTGTTCTGCGACGGCCGCCAGGACAAGGAGCTGAGTCCAGGCGGCAGCCGCACTGTTGGCAACGTGACGATCAATATGCACCCCGGCGACATCCACATCGGACATTTCTCCTGCGAGCCGGGAGAAAGACACAGCGGGGAGGTCTACGCCAACAAGCTGCTCGCCTTTTTGGCGGAACGAGGCGTCAGCTGCGAGAGGCTGACCGCCTTCGGTGGCGACGGAGCAAATCAGGTATGAGAAATAATAGATTGCATTTTGCATGCTACGTTTTCAACGCCGAAAACGCACATCAATTATTAATTCACAAATTATTAAGTTCCTAGTATTGGCAGAAATGATCTTTCGTCGAATATAACTGAAAAGGGTACCTATGTACTGTCTTAAAAACTTTTCTTTGTTTAATTTCAGACAAACAAATTTTAAATGGAGCTCGACACCCAAGTTCATTCCACAGCGGTCGAGTTTTTAACTCTAAATAATTGTATAAAACTGTCATAAGCTAACGCGTCACTGGGCCTCATTGGCAGGTCACTGGTTGGAAGATGGGTCAGATGGCCTGTTTCGAGCGCCTGCTGGGCCGTCCGCTGCAACGCCTGGTCTGTCTGTGCCACCACGCCGAGCTGCCATTCCGTGCGCTCTTCCAGCATCTGGACGGCAAGACCACCGGGCCTTCAACCTTCTCCGGACCCATCGGACGACAAATAGCCGGGGACGTCCAGAAGCTGGCTATTAAGAGTTTCCCTCGGCTGGCTTGTCCCGACTTCCCCAGCCTCCCACCGGCTGTGGTTCACAGTCTCAGCAGTGACCTGCGACTGCTCTACGAGACCGCTCGAGCGGTCGTGACGGAGGACGACGTCCCACCACGGGTGGCTGCGGCGGCACACGGCAAGCTCTACGCCGCCCGCTGGCACACCGCCCAAAGTCGCCTCTTGCGACACTACATGGCGCAGGAGCGACCCGGCGATGCTCTGGCGGCCCTGGCGGTGTACGTGTGCTGTGTTTATGTGCCAACGGTGATGGCCATAAAACACAAGTCCGATGCTGTCCACGCTGCGCCACACCTCCACGCCGAGCTCCGCCGCCAGGAGCGCTACTGCCGACCTGAAGACCTGCCGGTGCTCCGGGCCAGCGTGCGCCGCAACGCCTTTATGGCGCATGAAGAGAACGTTTTACTCGCGATGCTCGGCGACGCCGACCCTACCGTTCGGACCGAAGCAGTCGGTGTCATCAAGCGGATCCGAGCGACACGCGAGTCACCAGTCCCGGGCCTCGTGCGGCCCTTCCGAGTCCCTGGGTCCGTGGGCGCCACGACGGCGCTGAACGATTCAGCGGCGACCTACTGGAGCCTGGTGGACCTCGACCGCGCCACGCTGGAGCCGCCGCTGACCCAAGGGATGACCGGAGACCAGTTGGAGAAGTTTTTGGAGACCCCGCTTCTGACCGGACTGCCGTGCCATACGCAGTCCACGGAGCGAGCCGTCAAAGTGACGACGGAGGCGGCCGGGCAGGTCAGAGGGGCTCGGCGACAGGACGGCCATGCGCTAAACAAGCTGGCGTGGAGGAGGCGAAACCCAGGACAGGTGGTGAAGAAGAAGTACCGCCCAGTCAAAACCACAGCAGAGAAGGAGGGATAGACAGCTCGGAGAGCTGAATGCACCAAATTCAGCAGCAGACCGGGAGTCGGGCGCGCCGGTCGGGGCGACAGGAAAAGCCAGGCACGGACGATAAGAAACTTATTTACTGCGCAAAGACCTTGTACATACAATGCTGTGTTTTCCGTCGTCCCGCTGTGATGAGCGCTGCTTGTCTGGCGCTGTGCGTCCGTCGTATTTTATGTGAAGTATGTTATGGGCACACAGTGCGGTAACTCGTGCAATACAGATCTCATTTGTAGACAATTGTCTTTTTCAGGCTGCACAGCGCCGTTAAATGGCCAAGAGACGCTGCAAACTCTCACACTTTCCTGGCAACGTCCATGGGATAATTAGTGTTTATTGTCATAGTTAAAGCGGACACGGTGCCCCAGTGCTCTCATGTTCCATTTCCTAGGTCCCAAAGGTTCCAGAGCCCATGGTCAGACAGCTCTCATTTGCCGTTAGACACGTTACTGGAAACAACCGCGAGTTAAATGCGATTTTTCGCTGAATTGTGTAGTTTTCAAGCTGGAATATATTACAAATGTGATCAAATATAGGGCTAATGGCGACAAAAACATAAAAACATGCCAGTTCCTTCATACTGGAATGGAAACAACACTAAAAGACACTCTGAAAACCTTCCCCAAAGCCGAGACGTGAAGCCCATTGTGCTGCCATCTATGGACAGATCTATGAAACTCGGGAGCTGCGGGCGGCTGACTCTCGTCGGAAAAAACAGCGATAAAAAGCGGTAAAACGGGTGTAGATGCATGAAACTTGCCATGCCGGCGCAGAATTAGTGTCGTAACTTATATTATGCCATTTCACTATGCTTTTTAAATAGCAACTATCGAATACCTGCACCGAAAGTGCCAGAATCGCAAAAATGTGCTCATTTTCCCATCTTTAAATTTTGGGGCGGGCTTCCAAATTCAAAATTTCTGGTCAAAAATGGTATTTTCGTACTCAGGGCATCAAGCCACGTCGATCTAGGGGCGTGCTGGCTAACTTCTAAAAAAAAGTTGCAAAAAGGGTCACCCTAGTGCCTCAGCACTGACAGCAGGCGCTTGGTACCGGTAGACTGTGCCGCTTGACTTGAGAGTTGAGCGGCACAGCCTAACCAGCGCCGGGCTGCTGCTGCCAGTGCTGACGCTTGGACAGTCGGTCAATAAAGAGTCCCTATCGAGCAGCCTCCACACGGACTGTACTTACCTACCAGTCTCCTTAGCTTACTTTACACCACGAAATATATAGTATACGACAGTCGTAGACTATATATTCCGTGCTTTACACTATCGGGAATTTAGAAAGACACTCCGCCTTTTGGTCCCGCTCTCGTTGAGCTCGTGACTGGTGGACACTTCTAGTGATGCGTTTTCACGTCATGGAAGTTCTCAAGCTTTCAATACAATTAAGTTAACCAATATCCGAATGCTATATTGATTATAAGATACCAGCGCACATTTCCCTTACCTTTTTGAGCTAATGCCTTCGTTGCTAGATCTATCAAGATCTTGTACCGCGAGCAGGCTGCTGAGGAAGGATTAGGCAGGGTAAACTTTCGAAGCCATTCGTTTTCCTCGGCTGCGTGGTCCGTTAGAGAACACTCGCCCTCCTACAGCTACACCTTCATTTGGCTGCCAGTGCAGATGGCTAACTGCTACTTGCATAGATACCCAGCACCCTTATCATCAGACGAAATGTATCCGAAAATACATGAAAGCAAATCAAAGAGCTGCCGAGAACCACAAAACAATTGTGGAAGACAGTCTTCTCTCCTATGACGGAAAAGGTTATTTTTATAATAACGAATGCTTTTGTGTCCACTAGAACCCGCGGGAGCTCAATGCTGGGGAAGTAAACACTGTCCAAGTTATCTTCGGAGAAACGTCAGGAAAGTCCAGACTGATCCTCCCCCGTGGAAACACTGGACAAGTCCTGGGTAAGACTCTCCGCGCAGGAATCGTGGGGAAGACCGGGACATCGACCCGGTTTTCGGACTGCAGCGTACAGCGTAGATAGAACCCCAGGTAATCTACAGATGTGATCAGGGTCCGTACAGCTGCCCAGAGGCGTGGTCCTAATATAACCTTATACCCGCCGAAACGGCTGGATGCTGAGCTATTTCAGATTGATTAGAAGCTGGTTTTGGTTTTTGTCCCGACTCAGAAAAGAGCATCGATGCATTATGGATTTGATCAAGTGATTACGGAGCGAGCGAAGCGAGCGGAGTCTTTCCTTAGATTAACGGAAATTTCTGAGTATGAGCGGCCGGCCAGCCGGCCGGCCGGCCGTGCGGACGCTTTTGCGAGGCTTATATCTCAGCAACCACTTGACCGATTTACATGCGGTAATTTTTATAGGGTAGCTTCACTCATTCTACCAAGTATTGGACTATTCCCGATGCATGTGGGTGACCCCTTATGCACGTGCCACGTGCAAAACGAAGAGGTGTCAGTTTTGTAATTGTTGCAATATCTCGGTAACTACTTGGCCGATTGCGCTGAAAGTTGGCATGTAGGTAGGCACCCACTAGGCACTGCATATCCATGTGCCAGAGTTGGGGTACTGCTGCACGTGCGCACGTGCAGGGGTCGTTTCCAGATCTCGAGAACGGTTCGACCGATTGCGCTCAAATTTGGCACACAGTTAGGAACCGGTTAGTAGGGTGCCGTGCATAATTCAGTTGGGACCCATTTTGCACGTGCGCACGTGCAGGGTGCCGCTTCCAGATCTCGAGAACGGCTGGGCCGATTGTGCCCAAATTTGGCACATCGCTAGAGACCGCTTAGTAGGGTACCGTGCACAAGTCAGTTGGAGGTACCCCCTCGCAATTTCGCACGTGCAAGGCCCACCCTCTCGCTCGCTCCGTTAGTCGCCCCAAAAGGCGTTATACTGGTATACTACCGGGAATCATCTAGTCACATTATTGTGACCATGCGATAACGGGCTGAAAATAATCCGATTGCTCTCGAAATGACGGTGAAACAGATCATTCTTATTTAGCTGAGTGCTCGATTTCAGACCATGCTCGTGCTGGAAATAGCGGTGTGACCAAATCGTTAATCATATTCAGTTCTCACGAATAATTTGAGGTAGGTTCACCGCGATCTCAAAATAATCGACTTTGTAACATTTTTGCTTTTACTGTAAAACAAAACTTTTGTCAATATGTAGAATGTAAGCCACCGTCATTGGTCGAAAGACGTCTAACCATTTTTTTCTCAACGAAGAAATTAGCTTGATACAACCCTCCTGATCAAAACCATACCTAGAAAGGGCGTAAATTCGGCCCGTATCCCCAAGACCAGAAACAAGTATGCTTAACCGCTATGGCTAACCCATTGGCCATGGCCATTTTGCAGTACCATGCATCCTTCGACGGCGCAATGGAGATTTGGCAAGACTTTCCATTCCCATCTGCTCCTTCGCTTGAGTTAAGGGGCGTGGTGCTCTTTACAGGAGGGAGCTTGATGCCAGAGTTTAACCCTCGCCCGCACATGGGGGGGGGGGGTGGTTGCCACCCCCCCAGGCAGTCTTTCTGGTCTGCACTCAACATTTTTAGAGCTAGAAGGCTGATTTTTCGTATAGCTGCTCGTCTATCCTTTCTTGATGTCCACTGAAAATTTCTAGTTTCTGTGATTTTTGGTTTCGGAGATATGACCTTGTTTTTCAGGTCATGTCATGACCCAAATGGCCAATTCTCAACATCTTGCGTTTGCTATGGGCCTTGTGAGCTTTTGACACCCTGATTTCGGCCTTTTTTGCCAGTCTTACCTCCCACCTATCATGGAACATGTTGTTCGACGATGTACAGGGGTCAAGGTCAGGGTCAAGGTCAACCTAGGTCATCTAAGATAATTGCGTTTTAGGCAAGCTGAATTTACTTTTTGTGAAGTTTTTTGACTGCATTTTTGGTAAAAGCTTCTCAGATCATGATTTCATGTGATATGGACCCAAAAACAATCGGTGCACACATCAGTATACACACAGACACACACAGACATACAAACACATATAATTGACCTTGACCTAACTTGACCTGAAATGACCTCAGCAGCAAAATTCTGGTCGGATAGTGTGACAAAGAGGTTCTAGCTGGCTTGGCACCAGAAAACAGCATCGTCATCGGTATTTGATAAGCAGCGCACTTGATATCCAACGGTGACCCAAAACAGCAACATTTTTTAGTTTGACCTGACCTGGAAGGTCAATGACTGACCTGAGAAGGTAAAACTGGGTATCATTGGATTCGTCTCTTCCCAAAGAATCTTTTTGGTCTTTACTGCTAAGCTCTATCTCCAACAGGAACGAAATGGCGCGGGGGGGTGGCAACCCCCCCCCATGTGCGTTCTAGGATGGGAAAATGGCATGTGCGGGCGAGGGTTAATAAGGTCTCAGGTCAACAGGTAACCTTATAAAGGTGTAGTAAATGACGTACCTAAAAATCGAAAAATGACCCAACTCACTTGGGAGATTCAAAAAGTGTAAGCTAAAGCTCATTCACCATATCTGGCATTTTATTTGAGCGTTTTTTTTTTTAATTCACGCCGGCTTCGCGATTTTGTTTCGCGATTTCTATGGAATGTGTTAGTGTGTTAGTGATAGATAGTTGAAAGTCAGCAAACTTGATCTTTGATTTAAGCCAGATCCTGTGACACTAGCCGTATTTTCATAGCAGACCAGTAAAGCGCCTTTTGGGCGAAGAACGAGCGAGCGAGATAGTGAGCCCTGCACGTGCGGAAGGGCGAGAGGGTACTTCCAACGGGCTTGTGCAAAGCACCCTTCTAACCGGTCGCTAGCGGTGTGCCAAATTTGAACGCAATCGGCCCAGCCGTTCCTGAGATCTGGAAGCGGCATTCTGCACGTGCGCACGTGCAAACGGGGTCCAAAATGACTTTTGCACGGCACCCTACTAACCGGTCCCCAACCATGTACCAAATTTGAGCGCAATCGGCCCAGCCGTTCTCGAGATCTGGAAGCGCCCCCTGCACGTGCGCACGTGCAGTAGCACCTTAACCGCAACACATGGGAATGCATTGTGGGTGCCTACCTGTATGCCAAGTTTCAGCGAAATCGCCCCAGTAATTACCGAGTTATTAAAATGGGAACAAATTTGACACCTTATTGTTGTATTTTGCACGTGCACTGGGGGTGACCCACATGCATCGAGAGTATCCTATTTTTGGTAGAAGGGATGCTGCTACCCTACAAAAATTACCGCAAGTCAATCGCCCAAGCGGCTGCTGAGATATGAGCCTCTCAAAATCTATACTTTT